ATTCATAGCTTGTGTTCTTCTATGCCAGAGTAAAAGATTTCGAAAGGAAGCGGACAGCGGTCCAAGCGCCACACGAGAATGAAAAGAGTCCGACCTTAGCCTGGAGATCTGACTGGTTTTGAAAAGTGAAGGATCAAGTAGAAATTTTTTGGTGTTAATCAATTTGCTTTTGCTGAAATCTGTCCCCTTCCAGCCCCCGTTCAGAAATGTAACGGCTTTGAATGTCTATGTGCCGTGTGTTAGTCAGTAATCAATGCAATTGTTTTTTGAAAAAAAAACTTCCATGACCTCATCCAGAGGATAACACTTGCACATTAGCAAAACCTCATACGCCTCATATCAACTATTTACCTCCCTTCCTTTTATTTTGGAAACATCGGAAATGTTTTCTAGAAAGAGTTCTTTTGTCTTTGATTTATCGACTAAAGGCGCAGCTTAATTCGAGCAAAAATGCATTACGAAACCTCTGCTCAAAATAGGTTGTAGGGAGAAAGGTGTTATACCATTCGTAGGATTAAAACGCTCTTCAACGTCACAAGCAAGAACATTACAAGCAAAGTGTTGCTGGAAGGTGGTGTTATCTATCAATTAGAGAACTTTGGTTCACATGACGTGAGTACCATCTAGGAAGGAACGAAGCTATTAAAAAGCCTTCCAATTTAACGTCTGCACGAAGAAGAGAGACGATCACTTTGATCCTCTCTGGTCACATGGTAGTAATACATGGCGACGGACCCTCGAACAATTGTGGGGATTAAGGTTGTCTCCGACTCTATGTTTCGACTTCGGGCTTCAGTTTTTTGCGCATTTCGATGAGCCCAAGTCCAGCCTTTTATCGTTTGGATGCAGAAAAGAACTGTAGTCTGTAGTACACGAGAACCACCTACCAAACAAGGGGAAGAGCGAGAGAGCTGAGATTTTGAACTATTCTGCATTCAAGAAATTATGATGTCTAATGAACGGGTGAATCGATTTGTCGGTCTCTGGAGATTTGCAGAGAAATTGAAAGAAACGTTTTCATATTGAGTATGGGAATTCAATTGCACGACAGCGAATCTAATTAAATGGCGCCAAAACTCAACACAGGAGGTTTCATAGAATCAAGTTCTGAGTAATCCCATGGGTGGATCTAGGGTTTTGAGCCGAGCCGTTGTATCGCATCGTGTTGCAACACTATGTCTACCTCAAGAAAGGGTTGTTGACATTTACTGGATGATTTCAATTGATCGTCTATTGTTTAACAGCACATATTTCATCGAAGCAGTGGCCAGTGGTACCAAATCTTCTAAAGCGAATACAAGTACAAGAATAAAGTACAAATAAAGTGTTCATCGAATAGGAGCCAGTATTTCGTCCGAAGACGGACCAATCCCATATGTCATTCCATAGTCCTTCAACTCCATGCACTAGAGGCAGCTCTCCAAAGTGCATGGAACCGCCAACAATCTCGTATTACAATCCTGAGTGTTCGAGGAAGCGCACCTCTATTCGGTTAGTGATGGAAAAGAAAATTCTCAGATTACAATGCCCGGAGCTCTATAAATGTAAGAGATAAATCACATAAATCACAAAAACATTTTGTTAACGTTGACATCTTGAAAAAGCAAAGTTAGCTTTACATTGAGAATTTGAACCCTCATGCTTATGAGCTTTTTGCCTATCAACTGCGCCTGAGCGAAGGAATTGATCGTTTCATAGAAGGGTATAACACAAGGAAAAACGACTCTATAATTTTGTTACCAAAATCATTCAGCAGATTAGGAGCATGAATTCCAGAGCAACGTTCGAAAACATTTACGGTGGTATACACCTCATTTCAAAATTTCACCCGATATCCTTGCTTACGTTGAAAATCTTCCTATCTCAGAGCTTCTATTATATTATTGTCTTCATCGGCCGAATCGCTCGCCGGGCTCTTCCTTTTTGTGTCACAAGTCGACCCGCCGCCTATACATCTAAAATCTTTGGTCCAAGAAAACGGGAGCTGTTGCCCAGCCCAGCCAAGCACGCATAGCGGCACACTTCGTGCAAAGGGCTGACCCCCTCTTAATCCAATTTTACTGCAAGTTTTCACTCGAAAGTACGCTCATTTCATTAAACTCCATGCATCTCTCCACACCCCTATGCCTCCGACTTCAGTTACCTTCTACTACCTACAATAGATAGGTCTCTTAACCCATGAACGACCGCGTGGCCCGTGTACGGACCACAGTATTATTTTCCACGTATAACATTCATTTTCGATTTTTTTGTCCTTTTCAAGTATCTAGCAGGGTTATGACCTACGATAAGATCTTGACGCGCAGTGTTCCGTGGAACCTTTACTTCTGACTTTAGTAATAAGAGAAAACAAAGTTACTTTTGAGGGCATTGGTAAAGAAGCATTTGAATTCATCAAGGTCCTTCTACTTCCTTTTGTGTCACAAAAAATTTTCACGAGTTAACGACTGCTGTTTGCATGACAAAGTGAAGGAAAACTCTCAAGTACCATTTCGTGGTACGACGCACATATGGAGAGTAAGCTGACATCTGATCGCTCTGATCAACAAATCCTTTTAGTTTGTTGTAGTCTTCAACTACTTTGGGTTTGTTCGATGAGTCACGTTCACCATCATGCAAAGTTGATGTCATCATAAGTTCTCTCTTATCCTTCCACTTCAAAACAAGAATACCGTCTTTATTTTGTTGGCAGTATAGCTCCCCTCGTTTTAATTTCTTTCCTTCCACGAGTGGTGGAAGTTTCTACGATTCTTTCTCAAAGTAGTGAGTTCTTTCCAGAAGATTTTTGGCCAAACCAATCGAGCCGTGCCAGTAATCACAACAGAGCTGTCTGCCGCTGTCTAAGAGACCAGAGAAAACGACAGTATCTGCAAGTGGTCCGGTACTTGTGGTCTTGCCCGCGTAAATCATTGTCTCCTTGTGTAGCCCATACCATATGTTTCTTTGACGGTATATACTGGCGGAAAACAACACGTCCCCTTAACGGTACAAGCGACTCGTCTATGGTTACTTCTTTTGCAGGATGAAAATTTCTTTTACAATTGTCATTGAATAAATCAACAAATTCCTTTATCTTATACAGTCGGTCACCGTCTGGTGCGCTGTTGTCACAGAAATGAAAAGAGCGTAGCAGTTGCTTGAATCGACTTTAGGCACAACCTTGCAATGCGTGCCCTCCTAGCGCTGGGCGTGCGCTCCATTAGTCCCGTAGTTTGGGCATTTTCACAAGTCCCATATGAATGATCGGCTTGAGGCTGAACCTAACGAAGACGATGTTCATGAAAAACGGACTGGTACCTGATGCTCCTTTCACGTTAAACGGAGCGAATATCTCCGAATGCTCTAGCTATGGGTATCTAGGTCGGGAAGTCAACATGATGAACGACCTAGCTCCAGAGCTATGCAGAAGGAAACGCGCCGCGTGGGGAGCATTTAAGAATATCGAGGGAGTAGTGAAGAAGACAAAGAACATCCGGCTCCGCGCTCACCTTTTCGACACTGCTGTCCTTCCTGCTTTGACGTACGCCTCGGAGACCTGGACTCTACGAAAGCAGGATGAGCATGCTGTCAGCGTTACTCAACGCGCTTTGGAAAGGACGATGCTCGGAATTTCCCTATACACGCAAGTGCAGAAGGGAATCCGGAGTTCCGAGCTCCGTCACCGAACGAAGATCAGGGATGCCTTTGATTACGCCAAGAAATCGAAGATCAGGTGAGCCGGACACGTTATGCGATATAGTGATGACCGTTGGACCAGGGCGGTTACTGACTGGATCCCTCGGGACATCAAACGAACTCCAGGAAGGCCGCCAACGAGATGGCCAGACTTCTTCACGAAAGCTCTGAACGAAGGGAATGTTAATCCTCGTGTCCCTGGAGCGATTCATTGGTCCACTCTGATTCGTGACAGGGACGAATGGAGACGTTACTGGCGCCCGCTCGAGGAAGTCGATGATCAACGGGACGACAGGTGATACAGGTGATCTATTTGTTTCCGTTTCCATGGGCGTCAGAAGGGTGTCATCGACACTGACACCGCATTGCTCGGCCTGTGTTGTTGAGTGAAGTCCCACTTAGTGTCATCTTCAACATTGTCAAGCGTGGCCGATGAACTAGAATCTGGAGCAAAATCCTCTCTTGAGCGAAAAGTTGCTGCGAATCCTCCGAATCATCCGTATCGCCGCCTTCGTTTTCAGCATCGGAGTCCAACAGTAACGCTCGGAAATTTTCATCCATATCGGCATCATCACAGTAATTGGGATCCATTATCCTATGAAGAAAAACATAACTTTTACTTGAAGTGCTTGGCCAAATTTATGACTTCGCTGAAACATGCCAATCTCATCTTGTCTGTTTCCTCGTGTCTAGACAGAGTCACATTTGGAAATGATTTGCTAGAAACTCTCACCTCCCTTCGAACAATCAGAAACATTATTAGATGCCATAACGTAGCTCTAAATAGTGTGTATGACTAATAGTCTTTACATGCCACATTTAAAAATTTTATTGTGATGGAAATGCTTACGAAAAAATTGACCTGCTCCTGGGACCGCTTGGCCCACCAGCGGGCCACAGCAGCAGTCCGCAAAAAGCGCGCTCGGTCCCACAGCCAGACACGCTGAAAAGGCGCGGTCGCCAATGGGTTAAATCTGAAGCCTGCACACGCTCCAAATTTGAAGATCCAGGTCAAATCAGCTGTTTTCGCTTACATTTCGCTTCCTGCGGGCTTAGTCAAGCCAACTCCCCTCAGCATTCCCGTACTGCCGTCTTTATTCGTAGCAAATTTGGTTGCCTCAGGTGCAAACTGTCATACTTCACGCGCGCCCCGCTCGTAATCGAGGAGCCAACATTCATGTTCCTATCCTGCCAATCCTTCCATCTGTACCCCTAATAGACTTGAACGCTCTTGGTAACACTAGGCACGGTGACAGCGTGGACCGCTTTGTGGCGTGATCAATCTGTCTTTTTACAACGAACGCTTTTACCAATTACCATTGCAGTTGGGATCATGGGAAGCGGTATCTAAAACTGTTGGCTCTCCTATACAAGAGTTCTTGCAGTCACGACTTGAACCTGTGTGTGAGGTGAGTTCACCTTCTATTAGTATTTCAGTTGTGTTTATGTTAAATCGGACGAAGGGGATTGCAGAAATTCGATGTATTGAACATCGAGTATGAGCTTTTGCATGATCATTCGCTCTGGCCCAACCGCAAACCGAAGATCCTCATGCAAACCTGTGGACACGTTGCAGGTAAAAGGCATTCATCAGAAGCATTGGTTCTGTGTGATGTTTATGATAAGGATGTTGTTGAGTGTTTGGCTTTGCAGAAATGTTCGATTACAGGAGCAGCGTATTATTATCAGCCATTTCAAGTGCGTGGCGAAGGCTGGCCCCCACTACCGATGGCACAGAATAAGGTGATTTCATTTCTTTGCCATAGAAAACATTTGAAACTACATCGTTAAGTCCATGCAGGTGTTCAAGAAATGGGTATTGAATGCATAACTTTCAACGTACATCTTGACATTTTGCGCAAAATCAGTAAACAACATAGCAGAGATCGAGATACTGAGTAACCTCATAGGATAAATTCTCGGCTTTATGACTACTTTTGTTATTTTTCGATTGATTTTGGCTATGATTTTTGAACTGTCTCAGCTACCCGGAAATAATTGCTCGTCACGTTTTTTTGCGTTCTCGTGGCTCTGATACAAACTTTTACGCTTTGCTCATTTTGAGCAACATAAAAATATCGTGCCTTGTTCATCTGTTGTTGGTGTAGACATAGTAACATATAGACCGGGAGTGGACAAATTGAAACAAATCTCCATTCATGCTGTCTTATATGAATCAGTTGCAGCTATCCACTCTTTTATTAATATAATACAAAAGCTTTCGATGAGCTCAACGATCATCATGTGCTGTATCTATATAGATATTACATTATCTACACAAAAAATCTGTGTAATTTGTTTGTAGATATAGATACAGCACATTTAGCTCTTGGAAAATATCAGTGATCAGTTGAACTGTGCACTCTTGGTGCTCTCTAAGTTAAACGACGTGCTTTGTTTCAACGACCGACCGACCGAGATGTTGCTAGTCACGTGTTCACAACGCTGGACATTGGTCCCGCTCACGCGGGCCCGAACGCAGTCTCTCCTGCGTTGTCAACACGTGGCCAGCAGCACTGTCTGTCGGTCGATACGTCGTGAGGACAGAACATGTCGTTGGTTCCTAAAGCACCCACTAACGCATGCGTCACTGCGAGGGACTCGTCAAACTGAGAAGAAATTTTTGGTCTGAATTCCACCCCTCGAGAGTGTGCTACTCACCGCGGATTACTTTCATTCGCCTGGCCTATTCTCAGACTTCGCCATTATCTCGGCGACTGTCCTTTCTGAAGCAAAATTATGAAGTTCTTCTCATAGCTTAAGAGCAGGGTTCCGATAAGCTCATAGGTGACTTGTTATTTTGTCCGAAGTCCCAGTCAACCCAAAGTTGAGACGAGTTTTTTAGGTAATGCCAGATAGACAGAAACGAATTGTTCATATGAACCAAGTGGTGGTGATGATTCATAGGTAGTGATTAATGGTGATAACTTCACATATACAATAGAATGGTTTTGGAAGCTAAGGACGTCTTCGCACAGAGTTACGAATTTTCGGTTCTAGCCCCGCCCACCTCAGGGCAAACTCTGCTGCTCACTCCTGATTATTTGACCACGTCGCCTCCACACCCTCTGACCTTTGTTCCGCGCTATTTAAGGTTTTCAGACAGAGTTATAAATTTTTGATCTTTCCCTCGCGACGTTATTGCAAGCTTCGCCACCTTCGAAGATTTGTTCACAATCTCCTATAACCTCTCAACACTCTTTCCCGCATTCTAGGATGTTTTTGAACAGAATTATGAATTTTTGATTTTAGTCCCCGTCCACTTCACTGCAAACCTCGCCCACTTCAAAGATTTGACCACATTTTTTCTATTACCTCTAATCACTTTCTTTCCGCTTTGCGGAACGTTTTAGCAGAGCCATATATATTTTTCGCAAGTAGATTCCATTTCGACGCACGCTCCGCCCAACAGCTTCGCTAAGTTGATAGACGCCCAACACGCACGGCCCTTGCTTTCTACTTTGATTTTTTCGGCCTCCGTACCTTCGGCGAATCGAGCTTGTGTGGAAAGTGTCACCAACCACCGTTAGGTTTCCTTCATTTGACCATCCCCACCTTTTCCCATTTTTCCGGCTGTTATTAAAGCTAATCAAGAAATTTTCCCCTGACATCGCTCTCTCCTGTGCAAGTCCTCTCCCCTGAGAGCGGAGCGTCGCTCAGCTGACGTGTGCACAGTTGGTTTGCCGCACGCCCAACCGATTCCAAACTTGACCCTACTTCTGTAGGTGCTTCTTCAGGTAATATCGAATTTCCGTACAAACGAACAACAAACAAACACATACGCGAGTAGTATACTTTGGCTGAGAAAATCTCGATCAGCTCGATCTCGTTTGTGAAGAAAACTTCGCGTTACCTTGCCATCATCTTCTCACTGCCGAGAAAAACCTTCCATAGTCTTGAGAAGGTACGGCTACAGTGAGAAATGTTAAATGTGAAACCTAGGCTAAGCAGCGTTAAGAAATAAGAGCGTTAATAGGAAATTTTCTCAAATTGAATTAGCTCGATATCAGAGTTTTTATTATATATCACTCCGTCATGTAGTTATATATCACTCCATATATAAAAAAACATCAAGTCAAAACTCCATCATGTAATTTTTTGTGCTTTCAGAAATTCATTGGTCTCAGTCTTCATCCAATATACGGTGGACACTTCGCTTTTCGTTCCGTGTTCATTTTCCCAAGGATACGCTTTTCGAGTTTCTGCGCTCCGGAACCATTATCTATTCTCCATTCAACTGAGGAAATTCGTACCGCGCTCGAGAGGTTCAACTACAGCTGGAAGGACTCCGGGTTTCGGTGAACAGCCAATCTTTCATTGTTCCTTTTCATATGCATGCACGCCGGCGCGAATTCATTGCATTTCATTGCATTTGAATTATGAGGGCGAGTTTCACTCTGCATCGCATCGAAGTATTTCTCGCATATTACAGTTTTTAATCGTGAACTTAGCTTCCTCGGAGAATGTGTTGTTGTGTGCACATCTCAAAACGATCGGGTGACTAGCGCAGCAAAAAGTCCGTTTTCCTCTTAATTGTTTGGAATTCAGAGGCAACTTTGAGGAGAAAAATGAAAAAATATCAGTCCACATGTGCAAGTCTCTGTCCAACAGTAAAAAGAGGCTTTGCAGAAATGAAGGCTTTTGTATATTCAGCTCTATACATTTAGGTAATAGATACAGTAACACCAACCCTAAATTTACGCATGCATATTACTTCCAGTCGTAAGTGCCCTCCTCACAACTGGCACTGATTCGTGAGGCGCTTTAAAAAACGGATCTATGAGGCGCAGTCCATGACTGGTGGTTCAAGCAATAAAGAGCGTGCTGCATGGAAAGCACAGGTAGGTTCGGTCCGGTCCAAAGGTTTGCCCACAAATGGCCATCCTAGTGGGACTTTCGCTTTCGCTCGTACTGTAGCAATATAACAGCAGTAAAGAAGGGCCTTATCCGAGAAAGGCAAGCAAATGGTGCGTCAGACTATTTCTTCATCTGATTACCCGGACTACTTTGGTTCATGCTTGGTTCCTTCACTGTGACAAAGTAAAAAAGAACAAGATCAACTTTTTATGGACTTAATTATCGATGCTCTAATTTACGATGTCCAGCACCAGCTTCTATGAACAGGTCGTCATATAGAAGAAAGCTTGTTTCTGATCCTCGAATGAAGTTCAAAGGTAAAAAATGCTGTAAAGAATGCTACAGCCTCATGTCAAGGACCAGTGGCGGACCAGCGGCTAGAAACACAGCAAAGAAAACCAATACAAAGTACGATAAATGCGACCAGTTCTGTTGCCTTGAATGTTTCCAAAGTGTTGATTATTGTTGGCCTTGGTAATTCATTTACGTTAGTTTTCTAATGGTGATTCGATGTGAAATATAGATCCTCGTTTGATACCTAATATCTGCATGAAAACCTTTAATTTAGACGGATTATAGGTCGCCGCTAAATTTAGTGGGTTAATAAAGAAATGTTAAAATGGAACAAAAAAGACTGAGTTTTCCTTCATTTGGCTGACTTGTACTGTCGGTCACGATTGACCGACATCGTCCCGCGAGACAACTGGTTGTCGGTCAACATTGACCGACACTGCCGTCAACGTGTAAGAGAAGGAGTCTCACAGAAATATACTGTTAGAATGATGTCGAGAATTGCTGGGACAAATGGCAATAAAGGAAGTTTGAGGTGTTTATATCTAAAAAGGTCAGTAAGAAAGGGGAAGTTTAAAATCGAATCATGCAGAGGTATTTTATACCACTCGGATTTGATCAAATTTCTTTGAAATCAGTAGAAGCACTTGCTCTTTTACATTTTTATACACATGATTTACTGATATTCAATCTTCACAATGCTCTTTCTGATCTCCGTGATTCAAATATTCACACAAGAGTGAACGTACAATAGTGCCGTACAATAGAGTAGTAAAAAGCGAAAGTCGGGCTGTGCTATCATAATATCTGCTATGAGTGTGAATGAATTTGAAATATTATTTTGAATTGATTACCTGCTGTTATTTTGTTGCAGGCCGCCATTCAAATGTCTCATGATTGGTAGTTTTTGGACAAAACTTCGGCTTCGGACCGGCACCATCCCTCACCCTCCCGAGACTCCGTTTGCCCTTGCCGTCTTATGGTTTACCAGTCGGGCCGCCCGGCTAACGCCAGGCTTCCCTCCTTCTTGTGGGTTCGCCCGGCTACGCCGGGCGCTCCTTCTTCCTCTGAGAAATTTGCTATGCGTGAATAACACTTCGGATTCTCCTTTTGCTTTGAAAGCTCTACACCCTCAGTATTAGCTACGAATTAGGAGCGATTTTTTCTGTAAGCCAACCTCGCTGTGTCCGAAAGAACATCGTTTAACATCAAAAAGGCGATTATTAAGAGAAAAAAGTGTTCAGAGACTTCATCGCGGCTGAGGCTACTATGTTAGCTACCATCAATGTTCCTCAATGCCATCATCGAAGGCTCTCCTCCTTTTTGGGGCAAACGGACTTTGATCGAAAAATATCTAGTTAAGGACATTCCCCCTTTTTAATATGTTATTTCGCTGAGCGAGAGTATAGACTATCAAATGCCTTTGAAGTTGTACCTCCTTTTCTCTGCGGATACATCATTAAATGTGAACCCAACATTATTACCGGTCGGATAAATTTTGCTAGGAATGATTTCAAAGCAAAGAAAAACCGTGATCTGTTACTTAATCGCAAACTCTGCTGTTTAGCGGTCGTAATCTAATAGCAAAAAATGAAACAAATTCTTCTCCTTATAATCACACAACTTAACCTTCTTG